TATAAGTTTTCGACAGAAACTAACAAAAGCCGAGCCAGAGACCAGATTCCGATATGGAGCCGGAGCCTGGCAATTTTACAGCTCCTCTCGTGTATTTAGACGGAGCTTTAATTTAGTTATGCAACCGAGGCACATCAATCTTCTGGAGGCTTGGAAGGAGTATCAGCTCTCTCTTTCATTTTTGGGATTATCTGTGTGTGAGTGTGTGTGTGTGCCGCCAGGCATTGGTGGGTGGTCTGTGTATGGGTGTGCTGCCGTAACATACGCTGCCATGGTTTGTTGAATTTGAGTTTAATGACGTGTAAAAATGTTTTCACGGCTTTTGATTATATTTTACCTTAAGCGCCGCTAAAGTTTGGGGGCACCCCACGACCACCCCCCACCCGGCATATGCTCCCTTCCGACACACACTCACACACACACACACGCAGGCCAATGTACATACATATATGAATATCCCTTCCGTTTGCCATTTGCAATGAATAATGTCAACGTCGCGCAACGTCTCTGTTTTGCATATGAATACCTTGTGGCATCATCGCTGATTAGCAACGGCGACTGACAATGGATGCTGTTTTTTGGGAGGTAGCGGAAACATTTTAATGACAATCATTGGCTCACACCCACCGCCTCGCAATAACACATCCATTACCCTTCCCCTTTTAAGTGTCAGTTATCGTTTTCAGTCTACATACATATATGTATTGTATTTTTTTGTTTTTGGGGAGGCCACGCAAGGTTTAGCAGACATAATGTCTGTGTATGACTTAATTAAAGTTTGGAGATTCGCGTTTTACATTAATTTTGATTGCTGCACATTGCAAAGTTATGCTGATGACAAACCAAACTTATTCAAGTTTTCCCAAGCGTAACGAAAGGGTCCCAAAATATGCAGGAAAACTTCTGCAACACAACCAGGTGAGGAATACTTCAGGAACCAGCTTCTGCTTTATTTAGCACTGGATTTATATGAAATACTGCTTCTCTATAAATAGAGAAAATCGAGTTATTCCACGCAGAATTTTTCAATCTAAAGAATCTCCACTGTAGCATACTTTGCAACGTCCCATAGATCTGTGTGCATTTCGTATTTACTCTTTTCAATTGCCATATCTTTTCCCCGCTCGAGTGGCCTTGGCTAGGCGCCTCATCTAACGGGAATGGAAAGCACACAATGCTGGTTGTTGCGCCGAAATACCCTCCGCCATTCACATTGCTCAGCTGGCTAAGAAAATTATTTTTAATGCTTGTTGGCAGTGCCAAAGTTAAGCACAAAAGTTTCCATGTTGTAAACAAAACAATGCGCTCTGTTGACAATTGTTCCCAGGCAGCGAGCCAACCAGCAAGCCATCCAGCAAGCCATCCAGCGGCAGGCCAGCAGCTGCTCATGCTCCTGGCCCCCCATTCCTCCATTCGCTCCTTCCCCGTATTTGTGTGAGTGTTTTGACTTATTTAATGCTCGAGCAAACCTCTAAAAGAATACAAATCACAAAGAAAAGCCGAAGCTGTTGATACACTGGCAGATATCCGTCATATCAAAGTGAGTTGACCAGCTTATATCCAGCCGACAGATTGTTCCTTTCAGTCCTTATAGTGTTCCAGGCGGAGTTCCAAGTGTGCACTGTAGCAGCCACACTGTAGCTGCCTGCCGAAAATCCTAACACCCTCTGGAAGGGTGTGGAAAAAACGCAAGCTACTGGAAAAAAATAAAAAAATAAACAAAAACAATGGCACAAAGTCATAGAAAATACTTAGTAGATGGTAAATACGTGCAGCTTTGTACTTGTTGCATTACCCTTGCTACTTGCTACTTGCCACTTGGCGCCCGGCAGCTCCTGCAACCTCTTTCTTTCCCCGCAACAGACGCCGCATTGTTTCTGATGCTAAATGCAGTTTAGTGTTGTTGTGGGTTGTGGACAGGCGCAGGTGATATTATTGACCAAAGTTTAACAATTGCAAACAGTTACAAGTCACAAAACAATTGCTGCGACACTTTTTAGTTTTCCAACTCGCTGGCACTGGGGCCCGCCTTGTTGGGGCTTCTTGTTCTGCGTGTTTCTGCTTCTGTTTCTGTGTGGTTCTGTGGGTTTCTGTGGTGCTGTTTGCTGTGTCTGTGTGGCGTGTTCCTGTAATACCTTATCAAATATAAATAAAGACACTTTGTGCGGGCTTAGGGCTTACCTTTTTGGGGTTTTCCCTGTTGCTTATTCGGTTGCAAAAAGTTAATCAAACAAAGTTTATCCCAGGGAGCAAGTGCCCAGAGGACCATTGTGCACTTCTAATGCAGATGTGCACTGAAAATATACTACTATGTACTACTATACATGTTTTAAATTGTTTTCAAATGTATATTTAATAATATAATGCAATAAAATCTCTCTCTCTCTCTCTCTCTCTGTCTCTTTGCGTGCAGTTAAGAGTAGGTATATTTAAAAAAACAAAAAGGGTAAAGCCATCCCCATCTCTGGTCTGTTTTTATTATGCTACAGTTGGTGCAATGTTCGTTACCAAATATCTTTCTTGTGGGTTCCACCCAGTCAGTCATACACAGACAATGGCAAATTCCAAAACGTATTTGATGCACACAGAGAATGCAGTAGACAATGGAAGGCAGCTTAGGTGTGTTGGTTCATTAATTTCCACAAATGAAGCAACTGCAAATCCATTCGCCAGCTTCGGTAATAATCAACAAGCCATTCAACAGATAAAGGTAGCTTAAAATTTCCAATTTCCAGTTGCCATTCAGCACAGAAACACATAACAGAACAACCTCATGGCCATGTGGGAGTGGACAGCCGTCTATACATGCTCGTAGTCTCATAGGTAAGGGACGGTCGGTCCTTTTTTGCCGCTCCAACTGTGACCAACAACAACTTATTGCGGTTACGAATTGTGGCAAAAGCTATCAATGATATTATCAACGGACAGACAGACAAACAGACTGGCAGAACAGGAAAGAGTAGAGCAGAAACCTAAGCGGAACGGAGCCCAAACCAAATCGAAACGAACGTATGCAAGCCCAATTACATCCGGTTGCAGTTTCAATTTCAATTTGCCGTGGCCGACGAACAATGGCCAATGGGTTGGCTGTTGGATTTTGGCTCTGCTGTCCTGTCTGGCGGCCCCAAAAAGGGCCAAAGGATATAAAGGCCCAAATGCCTCTGGCATGCACTGCCGCCACTGCTGATGCTTGGCATAATATTAATTTAAATTAGACAAAATACCATAGGGCCCAGGTATGCCAGGCCCTCTGATGTGGTGCGTGGTGCCTTCTGGCGTGGCGTGCCGTGACGTGGCGTGGGTGCGGTGTGTGTAGTCTCCAAATGCAATTTTGGCATTTTGGTTGAGTGGCTTGGGTTGGACAGCAGCTAATAACGATGTGCCCTGCACTCAATGTGACCTGTGGGAGCATCAAATTATCATTTACTGGTACTTTTACTTTGCTGCTTTCCATGGCATTCATTCATTGAGAGGAGTATTAATAATAATTCAGTATTTCAGAGAATAGGTACCATTTTAGTCGATTTATTAAAAGGCACAACTATTTGTCGTTTTGCCTGGTGTAGCGTGAAATTTCTAATTTGCCAATGCGATTCGAAACTTTGAATAAGGGCAACAACGCAACCGGAAATTCCGATTGCGACTGACCTGCCTAATTATCCAGAAAATGCAGTTAATACTTTTCTACCGACAGGAAAATGAAACGGTGGGGCCGGAGGGGAGTTGCGAGGAGAAAACTGCTGTTTGCGCATTTGTTTATTTGAAAATTTTGGATGCATCACTTAATTGCATTAATATATGTACATCGATCTGGCATATGCAAATATATTTTTGGGAATTGTCACAGCTGCCCCACACCCCCCCTCACCTACACCAGTGTTTGAATATTTTCCTGTGTTCTCCTCTATATTTGTCTGGATTTCCACGGTTTTTTTTTTTTTGACCGCCATGAAAATTAGCAAGTCAAATTGCTGCCATTGACGGGTCAGCATATTTTTCTTCTAATAATAGAGTTGTTGCCAATTAACACGCCGGCACGGCACAACCTCATACACAATCGGGCAAGTAGGGGGAGAGGTCCACGCATGCAGAAGACCGAAACAGATTTCCGCTTCCGTTTTGCATTAGTCGCTTCATGGAACTACATACATACATATGTATGTATATTCGTACATATTCGGGGTGACGCTGCTGCTGCTGTTGCTGCCGCACATAATTTATGGAAAATTGTTTGCATTTAATTGCATGGTTTAGCTTTAGCCCCATGTTGTTCTTGTTGCCCACATTGTTATGCATAATTCATTTGGGTGTACAGACGGCCGTGAGGGGCAGGGACTGGGGACTGGCGGTGGGGAGTGGGTGTTGCAAGTGAGTGATGAATTCGCTCTAATTAACTGCAACTCATCAGCTCATTTATCCAATGGCCTGTCTGGTCGTCCAACGAGCTACATATATGCATATGCATATATTTGTACCGTTAATGTCGCCTGGCTAGTGTGCACAGACTTTGGTTTGGTAAATAATGCAGTATTTGACTGACGGCTTTATTAAGATTGATATGCGAATGCATTTTTCAATGTGAGTTTGTTCAAAGAAAACTCAAATACTCCAGACATACCATAACGATATTAATTACTAATAGCCTGATGAAATTGGACTTTGGACAGTCTTATGGGAAAAGCTTTCAGTGAGAGCGAGAAAGTTATATGCGCCAGCTGCGGCAGAAATATTCGATTGCCACACTTTTCAGATTCAATTTCTGTCTCTCCCTCTCTCTAAAGTCTAGTGTCTAGTGTCATACGGCTATATTTAATTCCGTAATTTCGAGGACTTTAGTGCATTAATTAATATTCTTTTTATAACATTGTCACCCTCTGTGTTTGACACTAAATTACACGATTGACATTCATAACTTTTCCAACACTAGTAGTGACATCTCTCAATTAGTGAAAAGAAAAATAGTCTGGCTTATAAAACAGTGCAATTTGATGTGGTTATTTACTGTTTACTCTCATTGTTTAAGTCTGAGGCCAGGCTCCAATTTCTGTCTGGGCTAAACGCAACATCTGCTTGAAAGGTGCAAGATTTCTCGGCTTATAACCCAAACAAAGTGGTCAACAAAAATTGCACTGCACCGCTGAAAAAACAGACAGAAGGCCGACTTTCATATTGACAGCAAACAATTACCATTCTGCCACCGAAGAGACAGGTGAAAGCCGCAGGGAAAATTAAAAGGAAAATTAAACAATTAAAGCAAACAAGATGAGCGATTCAGAAGTTAATATCGGGGAATTGGCCGAGGCCGAGTACATCTGTGGATGGATTTTGGACCTGTGCAGCAAGGAGGACCGTCCTTTGGCCATGCTAGAGCTTTGCGAGCGTCGCCGAATAATCGTAAATCTCGGTCCCATGCTGTGGCAGTCGTTTGGCGCTGTGGCCGGGCTATTGCAGGAGGTGATTGACGTCTATCCGGCGGTGTCGGCCAACAGTTTGGATGACCAGCAGTCGCAGCGCGTATTCGCGGCCCTCAGCCTCTTCTTGTCCATGGCCAAGCATCCGGATACTGGAGTGCTACTGATGCGCACCCACGTGTTCTACTATCTGATGCCACTGCTGAGGCTGACCCAGAAAACGCGTCCCATCGAGCACGTGCGACTCTCGGTCCTGATCATCATCTGTGGGCTGCTGAAAAAGAACACAACGGAGATCATCTGCTACACAATGGCCGCCGAGCTGATTCCTCAGCTCCTGCGCCAGCTGGAGCACGGCTCGAGCATTAGCAAAACACTCTCTTCGTTTATTCTCTACCGCATCCTGGACAATGCGGTGGGCCTGAAGTTTGCCACCCGTCGTCTGTCCCGTCGAACCCATCTGATCCACACTCTGGGCCGCGTCATCCATCAGCAGACGCTGGAGCCGGATCCTCGAATCCTGCAACATGTCTTGCACATCTACACGCGTCTGGCCGACAATCCCGAGTCCCTCGAGATGATCCAGCTACACTTGCCGATGCAGCTGCGCAATGGCTTCTTTTGCATGGATAATGTGCTCAGTTATGACACCGTCAAGTCCGACCTGCAGACACTCAACGAGAAGGTGGCCATTAAGCCCATTAAGTGTAAGTATTGGATGGCATTTGCTCCGGAATTCAAGCAGTTGATTCTTGATCTATTGCAGCGCAAGCAGGAGAATCCCTCTGTTCAATTAATTGACGCACACGGGCAGTTTACACCTCGACAAGTTTCCTTTTTCGTTTAACCTTTATGTAATTTTTCTTGAGAATATATTTGTACTTATGTATGTATGTAGCCTTGCACCCACTCGGGGGAGCCCTGGCATCAGCATGTAAATTGCGTTACCTTTTCTCATTTTTAGTTCGGGCTGGGGATCGAATTGGCTTGCCTGGAGGGGGCATCAAGTTTGCGTAATGCAATAAACAGCTCGTAAATATTTTGATACCAATTTTCCAGCGTAATTGACTCAACGGTACTTTGAATGTCAAACAATAAATTCAATTACCAATCCATAGCCCCAAATGCAGACCCCACTCAGTACCACACACACAGACACACACACTCTCCAGACATGCCAGGGATGGAGTGGGAATGGGAAGGGGTAGCAGCAACGGTTAACCCTACCGTGCACGTGCTACGGCTCGGTTCTGACATGGATATGCCGAAAAATCTTCGAAGGATGAAAATGGGACCGGAACTGGGGCTGGGGCTGGGGCTGGGGCTGCTGTAAAACCAAAGCAAGCGGAAAATCAACGCACAAGTCGATAAACATTTGTATGAACAGCCAAAGAAAGCAGAGAGCAAACAGCCCGGCAAAAAGGAAACCAAAGAATCAGTTTTGTAGTTGTAATCAGAGAGCGGAGCAGACGCAGGGTTGATCGCTGCCACAGCGTAAAACAATTTCATATAAAAACAAATGATTCTTGGGTCGCACATAAACAAAGCGCATCACAATGCCGGGGTGAGTCAAGCCATATCGAAGAAGAGGGGAGTACAATTCCAGGCAGATCAAAGCTCTGGGGAAACGTCTGCCAAGACCTGAAAGGAAAAATAATATGTTAATCCTTCCATGGAATGGTGGGGATAGGAATATCTTTACCCTGGATCTCTGTAAGGCTCCGAGAATATCAGAAAAGCATAAGCCGTTCGGATAATTGACGTGTCCAAGACCTGAGAGGAAAAAGAACAATACATTTCGATTGAAACCTATGAAAGTGACAAGGTATTCATATATGTTTGTAGCTTTACCTTGAATTTTGTAGATCCGCTATCCATGGCTGTCCGTAGAGTGTGCATGCAAGGCCTCACGAAGTTCTTTGACAAAACACCTACAATTCCCAGTGCAGTCAAGTCTCTCAACCCGGAAATACGAACAGAGAGCAAGTCCGAGCCAAGACTGATTATTTCCAATCAAATCCGCCATGACAGCAATAGTCAGCCCACTTAATCTCCATTCTGTTATTTAGGCTGCGTATTTTACCTGTAATCGTACCTTCTCGTATGGTGATACCTCTTGGTATGAAAGATCATCCCAAAAGGCAACAGTACTGTCCAGCTAGCTGGCCAACAAAGAGAATCGGGTAAGGGAATCCCGAAACCAATTCGGTGTTACGTTTATGATGCACAAATTGAAATTTATAATAATTTTCCACCCATGTAGAACCAGAGCTTCGTTTTTATCGAGAACCACCATATACAAAAACAACAAAAAACAGAAAAACAACAGCCAACAGCCCGGCGATGAGGGCAACAACAATGACAGTCAAACAATGCAAAATCAATTTAAATTTTCATCTCTCACACACAGTCTGGCTGGCAGGCGGGCCGGGCCGGCAGGCCGGCAGCAGGAAGAGGGAGGAAACGAACGGTCGGGTAAAATGGGGCGAAAGCGCACACAAAATGGGTGAGAAAATCAGTAAAGCAACCGCAATCTCTTACCAAATTGTTTCGAGGGTGGCGTGCCCCCGATGTTTCCTCTTCTGCCGCCACGCAACTCAATCATAAGTAAATATCTCAGGCACACACACGCACGTGGAAATAAATAAAAAAAAAAGAAAGGGAAAGGAAAGGAAAAAAAGAAAAGCCGAGGGGCAGAGAGGCGGAGAGGTTTTCCTCTTCGAAAAAGTGGCAGGCAGAGGCAAGCTTATTATGCCCTCGGGTGAAATATAAGCGGGAAAATGGAGCAGAGGCTGGGCGAATGGGTAACGAAGTATCGGGTTGGCAGGCAAGACACGTTCTAATAGATTTTTCCAGCCTCTCGCCTTTTGACGCTGCCAGGCCATACAAGTTACACATGTTGCTTTTGTTTGGCTTCCTGTCACACACACACACACACACGCGCGGAGATCCTTGGTGGAGTCACAACACGCACACTTTGAGACACTGGCATTTGACGTGGCAAGTCGGCGGCTGTACCTCCAATTTAAGGCCCTAAATCCTTTATTCAATTTTTAGCCCGACGAGCATGCAGCGCGATAAGCGCGTCACTGGCAAAGCCAAACGGATTTCGAACATAAATAGGCATTGATTAGGGACCGGGATAAGCCATATCTAAAAGTAGAGTGGGAGGATTACATATAAATCACATATACCTACTATTCATACATACTTACATACATACATACATGCATACATCAAACTATGCAAATTGTTGGCAATTGACTGGCAAGCAAATATGAAAATTATGCCATTGGCGTCCAACCGGCAACAATGACGACGGGCGGGGCGGGGCGAGGCTGTGCGTCGCCTGGCCTCCAACTGGCAATCGACTTGGCTCGACTCCGAATGGAAGCTGCTGCAATTGACAGGCTCAGACCGGGCGAAGATGAGCTGGATGTGCACAGGAAGAGCTGGAGCCGGAAGCTGGCACACAACTAATTGGACATCCGTTTTCCTTTGCGATTATCGACTCGGAATAAGGGCAAGGGCAAGGTAAAGGTAACTCAAGTATTCTTTCCATCTGCACTTCCCTTGTAAATTTTGTGCCACGTTATTAACGCCAGATTGAGTGAATGGCCAGGACGGGGAAAGCGGCAGGAAGCACTGCTAAAAGGTCGCCATGACTCCAACTCCAACTTCAACTCCGACATTGGCTGGATTCTATTTAGCTGCAAGCTCCTTGTCCGTGCCCGTGGGGAGCACAAAAGCGAACGTTCAAATTGCCGGTGTCGTTTGGCTTGATTTAATTGAAGCCGATTACACAGCTGGATATGGCAGACCCGGCCAATCCCAGACACTGCCGCCAGCTGGCAGCCTCATTAGATCGATTCCTGTCCGTGTTCATGTCCATGTCAGCGTCCATCTCCGAGTCTAGTTAATAAACGCAGTCCCGCTGTGATGACAGCCTAGCAGTCGATGTTATTTCTTTTAGCGCTTAAGTCGCATGTGCTAAACTTTTAAGTTCCACAAGCGCAGAGTGCCCTAAGCCGCTTAGTCGGGGACTTACCAGAGTCCACAACAAAGACATGACAAGATCAATGGCCACAGCGTCCCCGACCAGGTCGGAGTCCCCCCTTTCAAGTCAAAAGTTTTCTCAATGGCAACCACTTCAAAAGCCGCCTTTCAAGTGCTGCAGTCACTGATTGTTTGTCACCTGTTCCTGAACTCGGGCGGTATTCATTAGCTGCCCGCATGCCACGTCCCGCCCGCCTGCCCTGCCCTGCCCCCTTTACGTTGAGCACTCTTAAGCTAAATTAAGTTTTGATAATTCCTAATAATCTATTCAAGTAAGTTTTCAGAAATGTTTGTTCACTTTGCCGTCGCATCGGCAATGGCTCCTGATGATGAGAAGGGACAAAACCGAGGGAGTTTCTAGATGAGGTGGGCTTTTGTTGTTCACTCCCCCATCAACACAGCGACACAGCACCACCGCACCACAGTGCAAATTGAATTTTGAAATTTTCTTAGATTTGAATTGTTAGATAGCTGGCGACTTATTAGAATGGAATACACAAAACCACACGCAAAAGTTTTGCGGTGTGTCCGCCTAGGCTGCACTGAACGAAATGGGCTTTAGCCAAGATTATTCAAAGGGAAACGCTGTGTTGAGAATACTGGCAGTGACTCATTTGACGGGCCGAAGCTTTTCATATGAATCATTTCACAATGCCTACAAAAAAAGAAACAATTATGATTGGAAGTTCATTACAAACATTTACTTACATGCATACATGGGTAGTGTGTACCTGATATCTTCAGTTCAGCAATCATTGAAGCCAATGATTGATTACAGAATTCTTCATCCTATGTATTCTGAAATTTATGTACAAAAACACATAATAACTTTATATAGTGAAAGTAAATCCAATACTCAAGTATTCCTCGCGGAACGACAACTCCAGAAACTCCAGACTCCGCCAAGCGGGGCCGCCATCTCAGGGCAGTGACGCGTTGGAAGCATCTCGATCGCTTTCGACACCCGTGGACACACGAATAACATAATCAGCAACGTGGCTAATTTCCAAAGAGTACTTCACTTTCACTGATACTTTTCTCTTACAACTTATCTGCAAAAATACCATAAACAATTGCAAATTACAAAGGCAAACAAAAGCTAGGATATCGATAAGCACAATCTGACCAGCTGACAATAATCGAATATCATTAAAGGCTCCAGGGCTGCCAACTCGTTTGCTAACGAGCATCTTACAACATAATAAATTTTATTGTTTTTAATTATTTGTTTGATCCCGCGTGGGATTTCTCTCCGTGTAATGGCTTTGAAAAACTTTGCAGCAACTATTGTTGAAAAGTTTTCAATTGAGAATATTAATTTAGTCAATACATGTGGGTGCAGGGGAATCCGGGCGCTGGCGGAGGCCAAACCAAAACAAACGGTAAAAGTTTTGTGGTTTCATAATGCCCAAAAGAGAGGCCAAAGCAGCTGAGCTCCGGTTCAGGCTGATGCTCAGGGATCGGGCCGGCCCCACCTGAGGTAGGAATAAGAAGAACTTGAGGGCGACAACGCGCCGGCATAATGTGGTTTTGTGGCGCAATTCCTATTAAGCAAGCGGAAGTATAATCAAGAACACTCTTACTCCATCCACCCAAAACACAGGCATGGCACACTCTCGCACACACCACCATCACCCAAGGTACACCGTCAGCTAGCAGCAGGAGGAGGAGGAATAGTAGCAGGCGGAGGATGGGATGGCACACGCACTTTGGTCCAATTAGCCGTGTGTCCAACCAAATTGGCTGTGGGCCATGCTTTGTTGTGGCCGACAGCGTTGGGCCGCCGTCGTCGTGTGCCACAAATGAAGTGGAGCCCCATCATCAGCTGAGTTTTCGGCGGATATTCTGCATAGCTACAGCCTTAATGCGGTCAGTTG